GAGCAGGGGATGACAGCTCCCCATCCCTAATGCATTCACCCCCAGGTGCTGCTGGGCATCTGTTCTGTAATTATCCAGGCTCTCCCCTCCACGCCTCCCCCCTCCCCCTTCACTCCCTCCTGTGGCTGTTGGAACATTTGCCATAATTATCTCTATGGAGACCTCTGGAAGGATGTGCTGTGTGGCTCTTTTCTCTCCCTCCGTCTCCCTCCTCCTGGGCAGGAGGAGAGAAGCCCCTGGCTAGCAGGTTTGGGAGCATTCCATTTCCCGGGGGCCACACAGCATCCTGCCCTCCCTACCCAGCCCATGAGCACAACATCTGTTCTTCCCTTGGTGCACCTTTGTGGGGCAGAAACAAGGAAGGGGCAGAGAGCAGGGTCTGCAAGGAGGTCGTTTTCCATCCACAGGGTACCTTCCCTCCCTCCCCAGGATCTGATGTGCCCATGGGTTGAAAATAACACCACTAATAAACGCTTAAGCGGACTATGTGAACATGCTGAGAACTTCTCATAATAATATTATTAATATTTGAGGTAGGTCTTTGGAAAAGTGGTTAAGAAGCTGCATGGGACACCCACCTCCCATCTCAGAGTGCCTGGGTTCGAGTCTCAGCTCTGCTCTCAATTCCAGCTTCCTGCTACTGGACACCATAACAGGCAGCAGGTGATGGCTCAAGTGATTGGGTCATTGCCACCCACGTGGAAGACTCGAAATTAATTCCTGGCTCCCAGCTTTGCCCTGGCTCAACCCTGCATTTTGTATGCATTTTGGGAAGTGAATTAGAAGATGGGAGCTCTCTCTCTCTCTCTCTCTCTCCGCCCCCTCCTTTTCAAATAAATAAAATTTTAAAATGAAAACATTAGTAATAATAATAATGATAATACTAAAGATAATAATACACAGTTCCAGATGGAAGAGCAAGGGAAGGAGGCCTACTGTTTGTTTCCAGCATCTGTCACCATGCGTTGCCCATACTTGGCATTCGATACGTATTTGTTGAAGAGACGGAATACTGCTTTCTCGCATATTTCACCAACATGTCTCTAAAGACAATACTCACGAGTAGGTACTAGAATGTCAACATTAGGGTGAAAAAAATTGCCACACAAAGATATTCAGCAACTTCCCCAGGGCATATAGCTAGTAAGGAATAAAGCCTGGACTTGAACACAGACCTATGACACCCAGTTATGCCACGTCACCGGCTGGTGTGCTTCCATAAACACTTCAGTTGCTGTTTTCTCTAACGACAGAGTCCTCATTTTCCTGACTCCTACTCACTGCTAAGCCTCCGAGAAGATACCTTACTCACAAACGAATCTCTTACTATTGTGAATCACATTTCATTTACTCAGATTCACTACCACATATCAGAAACATTCAGCACATGATAGGTACTCAATGAATGTTAAATTTTTATTTTACAGATAGCAGTCATAACCTGCTCAAGACCATACGGCTGGCATGTTTAAGATCCAGTCTGAACTAGAGCCTTTGACGGCACGAGTGATCAACCGCTGAGCTACATGGTACATAATTTCATATTATGTAACAAATGAAGTTCTATAATTGTAGTTATTTCCATTGTTACTGACAGCTTCTTAATATATACAACCAACTAATAATCATAAACTTGAGTTATTTCAGTCTTTAGTATAATGAAAGCAATGCAAGCTTATTTTGGAATATTAGAAGAAAATACAGAGAAAAGAAATTAAATCAATAATCCCAAACATGTAAAATTAATGTTTTCTTAGGGTTTGTTTATGCCTTTCTACATAATTGAAACCATAGTCTTTATACAACTTGGGATTCTATTTTTTAAAACTAAATATTAAAACACAAACATTCCCCAATTCATTCTAATAATTTCCCTATAATTTGTTTAAATAACTTGAAGTCATTATTTTACATATGTGATACTCATTTTAATCACTAAAACAATTCATTGCCTGGACTTTCAAACATCTCCTGTTGCTGGACCATTTTTCACTCTTAAAAGTGATAATACAGAGAATAGCCTTTTCTACTTTCAGAATTTGAGAACACTTTTTAGTAGAATAAATAGTCTTCCAGAAGAGAAATGATTGAGTCAATGGGCATGAACATTTTCAGGGCTCTTGACATAGATTGCCAAATTGCTTTCCAAATGAGTTGTGCTAATTTTTGTTCCCACTAACAGTGATTTGGATAGTCCCATAATTTAAATTTGATAATTTCTTTAAAACACACACACATAATCACAATGTTTTGAATTGCAATACGAAAGACATTTAACAGATTATTTAGTTGGCTTCTCTTATTCCCTCTTTTATATCTTAGGAAGCCAATGTCCAACCACTTCAATTCCTGCCCAAGATCACAGGAATCTGAGGCTATGAACCAGGCTACAGCCGGGCCTACTGAATCCCAGTTCTCAGCACCAGCTCCGAGGGATCCGAAGACAACATTGCTATCTATTTATCTGCTCACTAGAAGTGTTACAGAGTTGCCATCAGTGAGTAACTTAATTTTGATCATAGCTTCAAGAGAAACAGCTTTTGAAATATCTGGGCCAGGCTAGTAACTAATCCCCATCTATGGTGAGATAGCACTCACCGTAACTGCTAACACTCACCGATAACATTCTTCTACCTGCCAGGGTTCTGCAGGGAATTTGCATCCGCTTATCACTTCTTCCTCCTGGCTCAGGCCTCTGGAGCTCTTTCAGTCCCGCTTGATGCACACCTTGGCAGCTTTCACTGCAGCCTTCCTGGGGCTTGTGCTTTTCCCATCACTGCTCAGCATGATGGCAGCCTACCTCATCTGCAACCTCAGGCCAAGCAGAAGTGTTGCTCCTGCCCATCTGCCATGTTGGCCACATTTCCCCGATTGCTAAGTAATTCCAGGCTCTTCCCAGGAGGGCTGAGTGAGCTGCAAGCTAAGCCTCTCCTCCTAGGCCCTGCTTTGTGCTCTCAGTCATTATCAGAGCTGTGGTAGGAGATGGAGCTACACTTCCTCCACCAGGGGCCAAATGGCCCATGACTCGGCTGATCACTGACCCAAAGTGTGGCCTGCAATTTGCCGTGGGAGACAGAAAGTACATCACCGGCAGAGTGGTATACTAGGGGACATTCCTATATTCAATTCCTACACTAGCGTTTTCTATGCAATCCAAATTATATACCACGGTCACGGAAACTGACCTACAACATGGCTTGCGCTGACTTACTTCTCCACTTAGAAACGCACCTATTACTATAAGCTGAAAAATGGTTAACTTTGCTTTCGAAGCCCCTTCCTATGCAAGATATCTGTCTTCCACCAGTCATTCATTCAAGTTCGTTGTATGCCAACCCCTCCAGGAAAGGCATTCAAGGGAGGGGTAGCAGTAGAAAGAGGCAGGAGACTTGTGGGAAAAGTGAAGGTTTGATGGAACTTGGCTGTAGGAGAAAAGTGCTCGGGGGATAGCAAGGGGCTCAGACCATCCGCTGTGCCTAGAATGTTCTTCCCCACTTCCCCCTCATGGAACCCTCAGCCTTCCTAGTCCAGTTCCTACATCACTTCTGAGGTGCTTGGAACCCACCTTACCTCCCAACTACAATCACGTTCCTCGTTAGACTGAAGCACCTGGTCCATACCTCTGCTGTGCCATTTTTTCACACTGAGATGACACTTTCTAAAATGCCTGAAATCCTCATAACTAAATTTACATTCCATTTTTTAAAAATTGGCCTTTGTCGATTTATGTTCCCTTCCTTCCTTGCACTTGGAAGATGACCAAAACATTTGTTCAAAGAATTAAAATTTTATGTAAGCCACACTTAATACTGGATAGGATGAGTGAATGAATGAGTGAATGAATGATGGGGGTAATACTGGAAAAATAGTTGCTCGAGAAACTCTCCAAGTGTCTGTTCTCAGCTACCTGGGATGGACACACATATACTGGTAACACAAATTGGCACTTAAAATCAGGCTATATACATACAACCATCAGGACACTGAACATGATAAATGATCACTAAATACTGACCAACCAAAAAGCTCAATAGTTTTTTTTAGCATAGTCCTACAACTAAAATTATAACACTTAAGCACTATAATCAGAATATCCGATCTGCCTTTTGCCAGTGGGAAGCAATTCTTGATTTTTCCCACAGCATAGCATACATCATGAGCCATAGGTGTCACTTACAGGCCTCTGTGAGGGTATGCTCGCCAGCTTTGTATCTATTAAAAAGAGGAAAGCCTGAGATCAGGGCCTGCCAGTCAGGAGGCAGGAGAAAATTCAGACCTTATGTTTCCATGTCTCATGACCTGGTCACAAAATGATTTGCCAGCACTGAAACCATCCTGGCAGGAAGACGCCTGGCCAGGCATTTGATGAAGACTTCGCGTGCTCCCGTTTGATGATCTTTGGGAAAACGTGACGTTGTCATTTGTCACATCTTTAAATAGGATGGAGTCAAGCGGTCTCTGAGCTGCTGGTGGAGTGTCAGTCACTTTTTGCCTTTCCCTTTTACATGCGTGTCTGAGCTTCGTAATTGAATCTAAATATGGCACTGGGGCACTTTTTAAATCTAGAGACGGGAAATACTTGCTGGAAGAAGCCGAGAGCTTGGCGTTGGCAGCTGCCAAGGGAATCAGAGAATATGGCAGGATCAAGGCTGGCCAGAAACAGAGGCAGTACGGAAAAGGCAAGGTTTGGCTTAAGAGACCTAGAGTCAGCTGCCATAACCTGGCAAATGGACAAGCAATTTTTTCACAGCCAACAGTAAAATGAAACTTATGGAAACAATAAAGTAAATGTTCTTCTAGCCAGTAAGTCAAATTAGAGAAGAGTAGCTTTTTTCCAACCAGGCCTGAAAATCAATATAGTTTAGTGGTCTAAAGACTGCCAGGAAGTTAACAGCATTTCAGGTCCTGAGTTAATGACGTATAGTAAAGATTGGCAAACTATGGCACCTGGGCCAAATCTAGCCCCATGCCTAATTCTGTAGGCTCACCAGCAAAGAATGCATTTTACATTTGCAAATGGTTAGGGAAAAAAACTAAAAAGAATACTATTTTGTGACACAGGAAAATCACATAGAATTGGAATTTCAGTACGACAAAGAGAGAGTTCTTGGAACTCAGCCATGCTCATTTGCTTACATGGTGTGTAAGGCTGCTCTCATGCCATGAAGGCAGAATGAGTACTTGTGAAAGAGCCACAATACTTGCATAGCTTAAAGCGGTTATTTACTATCTGCCCCTTTCCAGAACTTTGCTGCCCTATAATATTCATGGTCAGAGACGATTAATTCAAGGCCCATTCCTAATGAAGTAAAGATAACATATACCAGCACAAGGAATGAAGCTTGGAGTTGTAAGAGGATTTGGAAGAGCCCTGGTCCAGCCTCCCGCAGCACAGAATTCCTGCAGGAAGCATCCAGGCATGAGGACTAACAATACCAAGGAGCTCTTTGTTTTCAAACAGCTTATGAGAGAGAAATACTTCTGGTGTTGAACTAAACTGATCTTTATCTCCACTCTAGTATGGACTTTCTTACCTACAAATATTTTCTTTTTATTAAGATTTATTTTATTTATTTGAAAAACAGAGTTACAGAGAGAGGTAGAGACAGAGAGAAAGGTCTTCCATCCACCGATTCACTCCCCAGTTGGCCGCAACGGCCGGAGCTGTGCTGACCTGAAGCCAGGAGCTTCTTCTGGGTCTCTCACATGGGTGCAGGGACCCAAGCCCTTGAGCCATCTTCTACTGCTTTCCCAGGCCATAGCAGAGAGCTGGATCAGAAAGAGGAGCAGCCAGGACTAGAACCAGCGCTCATGTGGGATGCTGGTGCTTCGGGCCAGGGCGTTAACCCATTGCACCACAGCACCAGCCCCACCTACAAATATTTTCTACACTGAGAGGGCACTAATCACAATTCTTCAAATTGTGGTCAGAGTGGATCACTACTCTCCACTACAGGTCAGCACTTTCCGTCTCAAAGAGTTTCACATGCACTGTCTCATGCTGCCCCTCACAACAGTTTCTAGAGAGCCGGCCTGTATCATTATCTCTGTGACAACTAAAGAACTTGAGGCTAATGTTATGAATTGAATGGTGTTCCCCCCAAATTCATATGCTGAGGCTTTAACTCCCAATGTTATGGTATTTGGATAGAGGACCATTGGGGACATCATGAAAGTTAAATGATGGTGTAAGGGTAGAGCCCTAACTGATAGGATTGGTGTTTCTAGAAGAAGAGATGCCATAGTAATTCTTCCTCCCACTCCTAAACACACACACACACACACACACACACACACACACACAGAGGAAAGCAAGGAGAAGTTTGGATCTACAAGTGCAGAATCAAGTCCTTATCAGAAATCAACCCTGATGATACCTTGATCTTGGACTTCCAGCCTCCAAAACTGTGAGAAAACACATTTCTGTTGCTTGAGGCACTCCACCTATGCTGTTTTGTTACAGTGATTCTAACAGACTAATACAATTAATAAGATTAAAAACATGTTCAACATAAGGCAGCTTACCAGCTACAGAGCAGGAGTTCGTTCTAGAAATATTTACTAAGTGCCTATTAAGCACAAGGAGTCTAAAGGAAGATAAAGGTATTTATCAAAGTATTACCAGTATTCAATTTTTAAAGTGCAACCAAAAGAGATACATGGTGCTATGAGAAATAAGTAAGATGAAATGACTTCCTCGAGTTGATCAAAGGAGTGCACCCCAAGACCCAAATGAACCGATCTGAAAGGCAAAAGCAAGCTTATTGAGCGAAGGAGTAGGGGAGTGAACTTCCTGAGAGAAGGCATGTGCAAAGACCCACTAGTAGCAAGAAGCACGTTGTGCTCAAGGAAATGGTATAAAGCCAATATGGCTGAAAGAGGTGGGGGTGGCCCGAGACAAAGCTGCAGAGTCAAGAACTGATAGACTTCTTTCTCTTTAAACATGGTATTGAAACACAATACACACACCAAGAAAGGCACATAAAGTACAGATAAATGACTATTTTTGTCCTCTGAGCACACCCAAATTAAGAACAAAACATTACTAGTAAACCAAGAGTCCTCACTATTACCCCCTTCCGCCTCCTTTCTTTTAATATGGGGAAAGAAGAATATGTTGTCATTCACATGGTAGGATTCAGTGAAGCAATTTTGATAACTAAATCCCAAATGATTTGACATCAATACAATTTCTATACTCTCTCTGTATGTTAACACAAAAAAAAGAGAAAAAAATGTGTCTTTCTAGATCTGGCTTATTCCATTTAGCATAATGATACTAGACTTCTTATGACCTTGTCAGCTCCGGCAAACAACTGTATCTTTATGTTAAGGACATTACAAAGCATTAAAGTGCTTTCAACACGGAAATGACTTTTCTGAACACTTCATGTGAGGAAGGAGTACTGATTGCAGTGTGGGAACCAGATTAAAGAAAGGCAAGAAAGCCAGTTAAAAGACCATTGTAGTAGACAATACGAGAGGCATTGTGTAGCTTGGACTAGCAACGTTGCTCTGAAGATACAGGGAAGGAAATAGCTATGAGAGCTCTTTATTCCATAACATCATCAGGATATATGATTGGCAGTGCATGAGGCTGAGAGCAAGATGTCTAGTATGACTTCTTGACCCCTGTACATGTAATGGGATGGATCAGATTATGGTTACATTTCCTGAGATGTGACATCGTACAAGAGGCTGTCAGTGCCCTCAGCCAAAGACCAGCAGAAACACCACTGGAGTGGGCATTTGGAGCAGCATTTAAAAGATCACTTGTGGCCAGTGCCGCAGCTCACTAGGCTAATCCTCCACCTGCGGCGCCAGCACACCGGGTTCTAGTCCCGGTCGGGGCGCTGGATTCTATCCCAGTTGCTCCTCTTCCAGGCCAGCTCTCTTCTGTGGCCTGGGAGGGCAGTGGAGGATGGCCCAAGTGCTTAGGCCCTGCACCCCATGGGAGACCAGGAGAAGCACCTGGCTCCTGCCATCGGATCAGCACGGTGCACCGGCCGCAGCGGCCATTGGAGGGTGAACCAACGGCAAAGGAAGACCTTTCTCTGTCTCTCTCTCTCTCACTGTCTACTCTGCCTGTGAAAAAAAAAATCACTTGTGAGGCTTGATCCCATATCAGAGTGCCTGGTTCAAGTCCTAGCTCCACTTCTGATCTAACTTCCTGCTGATGTGTATGCTGGGAAAGCATCAGATGACAGCTCAAGTACCTGGGGCCCTGCCACCCATCTGGGATCCCATCTTGGACTGAGTACCTGTTTCCTGGCTTGACCTGGCTAAGACCTGGCTCTTGTAGGCATTTGGGAGCAAACCAGCAGATGGAAGCTATTTCCCTCCCTCCCTTCTAAATCCCTCCTTTCAAATAAAATGAAGATAAGAACATGGAACTTTTTAAATGCTTCACATGTAGATACACTGTCACACCGGGGAGAATGCATGCAATCATAAAGAATCTCAGTCAGGAGTGTGACAAGAGCCACACTATAAAATATGGGAACATCTGGACAGCAGGTCTTCTCATCTGGTCTGGCCCCGCCAAAGAAAACCTCAGGAGAGACTCGAAATTCAATAAATCTACAGCCAGCTAATTTTTAAGTTGATAACTACTTATGGCCTGTGAATGATGTTATAAATGTCCAAATGACCCTTGGACAAAAAAAAAAGTCTCCCCCCGCCCCCGGCTCTGGAATGTGAGCTTCCATTAGGTGACTTGGGGATGATACAAGGAAATGGAAGTTTGCTCCTCTGTGGATGCTGTGAGGAAGCAGGGCTAATTCTGTGATTGGATATCACCATATCATCACATTTTGTATCAAGAAGATTGTAAGAGGGCCCAGTGCTGTAGTGCAACAGGTTACCGCCCTGGCTTGAAGTGCTGGCATCCCATATGGGTGCTGGTTCAAGACCCAGCTGCTCCACTCCCGATCCAGCTCTCTGCTGTGGCCTGGGAAAGCAGAAGATGGCCCAAGTGCTTGGGCCCTGCACCCACATGGGAGACCTGGAGGAAGTTCCTGGCTCCTGGCTTTGGGTCAACGCAGCTCTGGCTGTTGCAGCCAATTGGAGAGTGAACCATCAGATGGAAGACCTCTCTCCCTCTCTCTCTCTCTGTCTCTCTTTCTCTCTGCCTCTCCTCTCTCTGTGTAACTCTGCTTTCAAATAAATAAATAAATCTTTTTTTTAAAAAAAAAAAAGATTGCAAGAATGGAAAGAAGCTAAAACTGTGATTGGTCGAGGCAGAACAGGTCTACAGTATCCAGGATGGGCGATGCTTGCGCATTCTTTTAAAAGATTTTATTTATATATTTGAGAGGTAGAGTTACAGACACTGAGATGAAAAGACATAGAGAAAGGTCTTCCTTCAGTTGGTTCACTCCCCAGATGGCCGCAACGGCCAGAACTGCACTGATCTGAAGCCAGGAGCCAAGAGGTTCTTCCAGGTCTCCCACACAGGTGCAGGGGCTCAAGGACTTGGGAGATCTTCTACTGCTTTCACAGGCCACAGCGGAGCTGGATTGGAAGAGGAGAAGCCAGAACTAGAACCAGTGTCCATATGGGATGCCAGAGCCGCAGGTGGAGGACTGTGCCTACTGTGCCATGGCGCTGGCCCCACTTATTCATTTTTGTGTTCGTTGACAGTGTTTAAATTTTTGTCTCAGTTCCCACCTGATGATTAGGTCTTAACTGAGTGACCTTGTCTAATGTTTGTGTTCCTTAGAATCGCTTACATTCAACAGAACACCACCGCATTGCCCTAACTGATGGGAAGTGACTTGCAAAGCACGGAGTAACGGGAAGGGACAGGTGAGCTCCTGGCTGTCAGGGCTGTTTTCCCCTCTCACAGATGCTCCGTTTAGTCAGGGGCAGATAGAGTCAAGCTGTAGGAGCTTCATCTAAAATATTCCCCTCGCACCACTGCTAGCTCTTGCTGACTGGGAACAATGTAGAGAGCATGTACTCCGTAGTGGGGCCAGGATGCCAGGATTCATGTCTTCGGCTCCCTTTTTTGAGGGGCAGGTGGGTTATCATCTGACAAGACAGTGGCTACACAGCAGCCTTTGCAACTCGCAGAAGACAGATCAGCCAACTGCAGCACAGGCAATTACAAGGAACAGAACAAAAATGATTATTCTTGTAATGGACCCTGAAGAAAGGGATCTAGATTACCAAACCCAGGCGATGAAAATAGGTCCCAGATTCTAAACGGTCTCTTCTAGAGATTCAGTGGCTTTTTTAGCCTGATCACAAACAATCCTATCTGTACAGCTGGAAAAGTCTGCTGTAAGTTAAATTTCCCCTTGGCTAACTAAGAGCAAATCTATGTGACTGTGTGATTATAACAGCAATATCCATTGAATTTAAATATTTTTAAAGATTTATTTATTTGGTAGGCAGAGTTATAGAGAGGCAGAGATAGACACATAGGCAGAGAGAGAGAGAGGGAGGTCTTCAATCCGCTGGTTCACTCCCCAGATGTCCACAACGGCTGGAGCTGCACTGATCCAAAGCCAGGAGCCAGGAGCTTTTTCTGGGTCTCCCATGCAGGTACAGGGGCCCAAGAACTTGGACCATCTTCTGGTGCTTTCCCAGGCCATAGCAGAGAGCTGGATCAGAAGTGGAGCATCCAGGACTTGAACCCTTGAACCGGTGCTCGTATTGGATGCTGGCACTGCAGGTAGCAGCTTTACCTGCTACACCACAGTGCTGGGCCCACTGAATTTAAATTTCAACTGCTTTGTTGGGCTTCCACAGCAGAAGTTGTGATATCTGATAGATTAAGAGAAAACTTACAGATTAATTTTTCAATTTATATTATTGAATATGCCTTCTTGTCCCTCTGCAGATTGGAAAATTCCTGAAATGAAGATAAACAACTCCTGAAAAGCAAGCTGCTGAATCTCTGAAGAGAATAAACTGGCCATTCCAGCAAGCAGAGTCCCGTATTCTTTCCATTCCTGAAGGCTGGGTTTCGCCAACAGAGTTGTCATAACATCAGCAGCAAAAAAACACTGTGTTGAAATGAGTGAGGTCTAAGTTCAATTTTTATCATAATAAAGTCTTAGGCTGGTACCGCGGCTCACTAGGCTAATCCTCCTCCTGCGGCGCCAGCACCCCAGGTTCTAGTCCCGGTTCGGGCGCCGGATTCTGTCCCGGTTGCCCCTCTTCCAGTCCAGCTCTCTGCTGTGGCCCAGGAGTACAATGGAGGATAGCCCAAGTGCTTAGGCCCTGCACCCGCATGGGAGACCAGGAGGAAGCACCTGGCTTCTGGCTTCGGATCGCCGTAACGCGCTGGCTGTAGCGGCCATTTGGGGGGTGAACCAACGAAAAAAGGAAGACCTTTCTCTCTCTCTCTCTCTCTCTCTCTCTCTCTCTCTCTAACTCTGCCTGTCAAAAAAAAAAAAAAAAAAAAAAAGAATAAAGTCTGAAGTTCTGTGATAGAAAATTAATACCAAGATGGACCTATAGAAATAAATCCACCTTGTTAAATTTTTTAAAGGAATGGTTATTAAATTGTTGATAGTAACCAGTTATATTCAGAACAGTAGGTCTGGTCTGAGAAAAACACAGCAGAACAGCGTGATTTTTCTTAAATGGAAGAAGGTCATAGAGAATCTAAAGGGAGAGGGTAAATATCAGGAGGGCTATATCAATAAACCTGTTTGTCAATTAATAGAGATAGTCAGGGGGCTGGCGCTGTAGCATAGCAGGTAAAGCTGCCACCTGTAATACCAGTATCCCATAAGGGTGCCTGTTTGAGTCCCAGCTGCTCCACTTCTTTGTTTGTTTTTTTGACAAGCAGAGTGGACAGTGAGAGAGAGAGAGACAGAGAGAAAGGTCTTCCTTTTCCGCTGGTTCACTCCCCAATGGCCGCTGCGGCCGGCGGGCTGAGGCCAGCACACCGCGCAAATCCAAAGCCAGGAGCCAGGTCTCCAATGCAGGTGCAGGGCCCAAGGACCTGGGCCATCCTCCACTGCACTCCCTGGCCACAGTAGAGAGCTGAACAGGAAGAGGAGCGACCGGGACAGAATCCGGCACCCTGACCAGGACTAGAACCTGGGGTGCCGGCGCCACAGGCGGAGGATTAGCCTATTGAGCCGCGGCGCTGGCCTTCTCCACTTCTGATCCAGCTCTTTGCTATGGCCTGGGAAAGCAGCAGAAGGTGGCCCAAGTCCTTGGGCCCCTGCACCCACGTGAGAGACCTGGAAGAAACTCCTGGCTCCTGGCTTTGGATCTTCTCAGCTCTGGCTGATCAGTCATTTGAGGAGTGAACCAGCAGATAAAAGATCCCTCCTTCCCTCTCTCTCTCTCTCCCCTACCCTGCCTCCCTGTAACTCTGCCTATCAAATAAATAAATAAATAAATGTTTAAAAAATAGAGATAGCTCACAATAATAGGCAAGATTAGTGGCAGAGAAAGGAGGAAGTGAAGGGGTACTGAAGAAGACAATGGTCATTCTTGGTGTATCAGTGTATCACCCTGGGTGGAAGCTGCTCATATCTGCAGGCCACATCTTATTGGATCATCTTAGCTTAAGGGTATATTAAGTGCAAGGGACTTTGAGGCCCAATATGGCATGCCAAGCAGCAGCTGGAATACAGGACACAAGGTTTTAGAAAGAGCTCTGACGCGGAGATACAAATGTATGATTCATCTCCCCTACAGACTCTCAATGGAGCCATGGAGCTCCCTAGGAATCTCGAGAGACAGGAGAAGAGGATCAGACTTTGCCAAGCTGCATGCTCTCAGTTCTGCCATGCTATTTTGGGACTTTAGCTAGAGATACCCTTCTGCCTTTCTGGTGGTCTACCCTAAGCATGAACAAGGAGTTGCTATATTTAGAAGTCAGGGATCATCTTTCGACACCATATTTTCATGCTCCATTTGTTGGCTAAATGCCCAAATGTTGAATAAGAAAGAGCAGTACCAAAGAGGCACTCTCCTTTTCATCGGCATGATATGGTAAGCGGTTTCTGTAATACCACTGTGCTACCAATCAGCATTCCTTACCATGCTCTACACAGGGGTCAGGTGGAATTTTTTTTTTTCTACCAAGGGCCATTTGGATATTTATAATGTCATCCGTGGGACATACAAAATCATCAACTTACAAATTAGCCTGCCATAAACTTATTGAATTTTGAGTCCTGCCTGCAGCTGCCTTGGCAGGAACACACCAAATGATTTCCCAAGCCTCATATAGCCTGTGGTTCAGATGTTTCCCACCCTTTCAGGTCTAAATTCTTTCCCACTTTATATTTACCCATAATAGAAGAAAAGTCCATCATAATGAATGCCCTATAACCTCGGTAGAGATACATTATAAAGGTTTTATTTAGTTTACCTTGATTTGCTTAGCAAAAGCTATTTAAAAAAACAATAGGGGCCAGAGCTGTCACATAATGGGTTACACCACTGTCTAAAGCACCACCATCCCATGTGACATCAGTTAGAGTCATGGCTGCTCCACTTCTGATCCAGCTCCCTGCTAGTACACCTGGGAAAGCAGCAGAAGTTGGTGCAGTGCTTAGGCCCCTGCGCCCACAAGGGAGGCCCAGAAGAAGCTCCTGGCTCCTGGTTTTGGTCTGGCCCAGCCGCAGTCCTTGCAACCATTTGGGGAGTGAACTAGCAGATGGACGATCTCTCTCTCTCTCTCTCTCTAACTCTGCCTTTCTAATAAAATAAACAAATCTTTTTTAAAAAGGACCAAAAATACTGATTATAAAAAACAAGGGGTCGGCACTATGGCATAGTGGGTAAAACCACTGCCTGTAGTGTTGGTATCCCGTATGGGCACTGGTTCGAGTCTCGGCTGCTCCATTTCCAATCCAGCTCTCTGCTATGGCCTGGGAAAGAATTATAAGATGGCCTAAGTCCTTGGGCCCCTGCACCCACATGGGAGCCCCCAGAAGAGGATCCTGGCTCCTGGCTCCCAGGTTTGGATTGGTCCAACTCCTGCCATTGTGGCCATTGGGTAGTGAACCATCAGATGGAAGTCTCTCGCTCTCTCTCTCTCTCTCTCTCTCTCCCTCCCTCCCTCTCTTCTTCCCTCCCTCCCTTGCTCTCTCTTCTTTTCAAATAAATAAATCTTAAAAAAAGATAGTTTATTTTTCTGTAAAGAGAAGTGGACAGCCTGAGCTTCCCATCAGTAAAATAACTTTCCATTACATACAGAGAAACTCTAGACTGCATATCATGGCCTACAAGGTCTTTTGGGATATGGCTTGGTCACTCCAGTCTCACCCCTACATGCTCTTCCTCATCTACCATGCTCTAGCCAAATCAGCCTACTCTCAACTCCTTGATGTATTCTGACATTCTCTTTCCCATCTCAAGGCTTCATATACTCTACCAAGAATACTCTTCCTCTTCCTCTATCATGTTTTGGCGATTCCTACTCATCTTTCAATCTAGCTCACATGTCACTTCCCCCAATAAGAGGATTTCCCAAACCAAATTCACTTCTCCAACTAATGTACCTTGGTTATCATGATCATAGCACATCTGTAACAGGTTATAGTCAATTATCTTGTAGACCATGTCAATAATACAATTTTTTTTTTTTTTTGACAGGCAGAGTGGACAGTGAGAGAGAGAGACAGAGAGAGAAAGGTCTTCCCTTGCCGTTGGTTCACCCTCCAATGGCCGCCGCTGCAGCCGGCGCACCACGCTGATCCGATGGCAGGAGCCAGGAGCCAGGTGCTTTTCCTGGTCTCCCATGGGGTGCAGGGCCCAAGCACCTGGGCCATCCTCCACTGCACTCCCTGGCCATAGCAGAGAGCTGGCCTGGAAGAGGGGCAACCGGGACAGAATCCGGCGCCCGGACCGGGACTAGAACCCGGTGTGCCGGCGCCGCAAGTGGAGGATTAACCTATTGAGCCACGGCGCTGGCCTCAATAATACAACTTGACCAATGTCTGTCTGCTCCCTGTAAGGGTAAGCAGATAATAAATGTTTTAGGTTTTGTGGGCCATACAATCTCTGTGGCAACTACTGTACTCTGACGTGGCAGTGCAAATGCAGCTATAGACAATGCATTTTAAAATGAGCATGTTGTAAGTAAATCTTTATTAACAAAAGAAAGCAGAGACAGGATTTGGCCCACAGGTTATAGTTTCCCAATCTCTGCCCTATACTAAGAACTCTTTATAAACCAAGAATTTGTTGTATCATGCTGCATTTTTAATGCCTAGCACAAGCATTTACTTGTTGAAGACATGCACAAATTACTTGTACCAAATTCTTACAACATTGCCCAGTTGCTCTAAGACAATTCCCCTACCATCCTGCTTGTCCCTCTCTAGTTAACTTTGGAACACTAAAATCAAGGCCATCTGTCTCAACCATTGTTTTAATCAGATTAGTGCCCTGCTGAGGATCTGAAGGTAATTTTCTCTTGCATTGTGCATAAAGTTTAACTGTTTTAATCACATTGAAGAGCATTTACTGTCATAGAAATGGATTAGATACTGAAGTCAAAGGCATGGATTAGAATCTCACTTTTTATCACTTGCAAGCTTTATGACCTTTGGATTAAATACTGGATATTTGATTCATGTAATGGAAAATCCAGAAACACAGTAACTTTTAGAGTACTCAATCAAGAGCCTAAATGGTGCCATTAAAGACTCTGTGTCTTTGGGTCTCTTTTCTCTACCTTCTGCAGTGCCAGTTCCATTGCCAGGATGATTTACTTCATGCAACCAAATAACTGCATTTGTTCCGGGCATCATATCTGCCTACTACACCATCCAGAATATTGCAAAAAAAAATAAATAAGGATATTTCTGAGAACCCCCAAATAGACTTCTCTTTGTGCTATTCTGTTTCAATACATTATATGCCCATTCCTGAACAACACTCTGGGGCCAAGGAAATGTCAGGATAGCTTAGATCTTGGTCACTTAAATCACCACTAAATAAAGAGAGAAGGTATTGTCCTGATTACCAGGGATGACTCAAGACCTTACTCATCTTGATAAGGTTCAGTCTCCTCTTAAGTGCATGGCCTGGCAACAAATAACTAGTACAAATTACATAACTATTCTTGCTCACACTTTCTGT